CAGTCAGATGGGATTACGTCCAGTTCCCAAATTCTACCTAAGACCTCAGTTAATCTCATTGCTAATACTGGACCACCATCCTTAAAAATCTCAGGAGTAAACCTGTCAGGGCCTGCTGCTCTCCCACGTTTCAGATTTCCTATGGCTTTTTCAACTTCGTAAAGGGACGGAGGACCTACATTAACTTGCCATTCAGGTTGACTAGAGATCGTGGGAAACCGAAATGTGGCTGAACGCCAGTTGAACTGATCCCTAAAGTGTTCTGCCCATCGACCAAATCTCCTGGATTGAGAATGAATAATATGTCCATCTTTCTCTGAGATTGTTTCGCTAACGGTCGGGTTCCTAATTCCGGTTTCCTTAACGAGTCTGAACAATTGTCTGCTATTACCTATTGTCGCTGCCTTTTCCATCTCTCTTGCTTTCGCCACCCACCACTGTTCGCGATCATTGCGTAGGCTTCTTGTCAGCTTGCGCTTAAGCTGACTCCGCTCTTCATTATGTTCAGAGCCAGGTGGAATGAGTTTCCGAGCATCTATCAGTGAGATAGATGTTGCTGAGATCCAGTGTTGCTCCCTAACCTTCTGGTTTACCTTACTAGCAGATATCACTGCTGTTCCCACAGCTTTTCGGATATCATTCCATGCTGCATCGGGGTGGGCATCACATACATGGCTGCCTAACTGTTTTCCTAGTTGTTCCTGAAATATACTCTTAGCTTGACTATCATTAAGTAGGCCCCTAAGAGGTTTCCTTGCAGCGTCTTTCCTACGTCCAGTAAGACGCAAGCAAATACGCGCTCGCACTAGAGCATGATCTGAATCTAGGCATGTGCTCCAGAATGAGCGACAGTCTTCTGTCGAGCCCCTCCATCGGTGGCTGATAGCGATGTGATCTATTTGGGTCCAACGTTGGGACGAATTAGGGGGTCTCCATGGTAAAAGATGTTTTTCCTCATGCGTAAAGTTAGTATTTGCTAGAAACAGACAGTTATCTGAGCATAGCTGCAACAGACAGTCGCCATTATCTGTTCTCTGAGCCACGACACCATAAGATCCACCCAGGTGTCTTTCCCTATCGCTTAGTTTACCTACTTGAGCATTAAAGTCACCGGCCACTATTACTACATCCGAGCGCTTAGCTTTTCGGAGAAGGTCCGAAAGCTTTCTGTAAAACTCATCTTTGACATCATCTGAGCTGCAGTCAGTGGGAGAATAGGCAGAGACGACGAAGAGGCAACGACGAGTGTCCCTATCTTTCCGGATTCTTACTGTTCCGTTCAGTCGGACAGCGCACAATCGACTGTCTACTGGGATCCACTCTAAGAGAGCTAGTTCTGCCCTAGGACTCAATGCTATACCTACGCCGGCGAGGCCACGGGAAGCAGAATCAGGGCTTCCAGATACATGAAGCGTAAATCGAGTCGGTTCTTTATTTTGGCATGGTGAGGTCAAATGAATGACGCTACTCGGATCCTGTATGCGCGTTTCGGAGACGCAGCACACATCGATGGCGCGAGATTCTAAAGTCCTAGCTAAGGAAGCCTGCTGTCCTATTTGGCACAGTGTTCGGACGTTAAAAGCTCCAACATGAAGTTTAGAGCGTGGTTTCAGGAGACTAGGAATAGAGTTACGCGTACTCGAATCGTTTGCCCTAGCGGTGCGAGGTGATAAAGAGACGTGGGGAGGGTTAGTCGGGGAGATAAGAGAGGTATTACAAGGTGTAGGAAAGATTTGAATGTGACCACCTTGGTCTCTTGTGCTGTCACGGGTATGAGGGCTGATATCACTTCCCGGCTGCCCACACCGTGGAAGGGTATTTCTTGAGGAACCTGAAAAGGAAATTGGATTAGTGTTGGTCTTAAAGACCTGGGAGCGTGACCGCAGAGCCCAAGGGACAACTGCTTGAGGCCGGTCGCGCACGGCCTTTTTGTGGAAGGTTTTTGACGTGTTAGCTCCGTTCTTCAAAGGGCCTTACCGCCGGAGACGGAAATCCGTGAGGTAAGGTGAGGTGTGACATTTTTAGGGTCGACCTTTTCTAACCCCACCCCTCCTTGTGGGAAGGCAGCATCGCTGTCATGCTGGATGTCCGAGGGAAACACCTTACTGCTGTCACACCCCTCTACAGTCAGCAGTAAGACTTCGCCCTCAGACCTTGAGTTGCTGCTTTTAGTCTTACCGTTCACCAATCGACCTGCCTGGCATGGTAGAACCTACAGGAACATATGTTCCAGCCAATATAGCTCGGTTGGGCCATCACGATAGGCAAGCCCGACCACCGCGTCAAGGTAGCAGCTTCGATCGGGAACCACATTGTTAGAGGCACATAAATCCGCAAGTCTCACTACTCGTTCTATCCTCCCAGTCCGTGTTGCCCCATAACGCTTTCCTATCCTGTGTTGTCCATCACGAGACCTCAGATTCCCTATCAGGATGGTCAGGTATTTTCCTTAGCAGTCCTCTTCGACGGACTGCAGCCTCCCATAAAACTGATCTTTATTTTCGCTGCTATCATTGGTAGATGCGTTACACTGAATGACATCCTTTGCAATCCCTTTTATTTTGAAGAGTGCTTTAGTGATCCTAGAGCTATGAGATTCCCATCTTATAAGCGCTTTTGGTGCTTCCTTGAAGAACATCAGTGCAGGTCCTTATTTATTTATTACTTATTAACTTTGATTCAGTAAACTTCTCTTACATCTTACACTGTTTATGGTTAACATTACTTACGCCTGTTACTCCTAATGAAGCATAGGCCGCCGATCATCATTCTCCAACCCACTCTGTCCTGAGCCTTCTTTTCTAATTCCATCCAATTCTTGTTCATTTTTCTCAAGTCTATCTCCGTTTCCCGGCGTAATGTGTTCTTTGGTCTTCCTCTTTTCCTTTGGCCTTGAGGATTCCATATGAGGGCTTGTCTTGTGACGCCATTGGGTGCTTTCCTCAATGTGTGTCCTATCCACTTCCAGCGCTTCTTCCTCCGCTGGGATCTGGTGTGTTCTTCCCCACACTTGGTTGTTGCTAATAGTGTCCGGCTAACGAATCCGAAGAAAAACAATAACGAACAGATTAGTGTAATGTAGTGTAATAATAGTATTAATGGGGGAAACTGAAAGGTACAGTCGGAAGAAACAACCATTTTTTTATAAAGAAAGTAAAAGGTTACAGCAGGATCCAATCGATTAGTACTGCCTCAGCTCTAGCGCTTAGTGCGACACCAACGCCAGCAAGACCAGACGAAGATGTCACAAGGTACCTAGGTAAACGCACGTAAAACAAGCTTTTTGAAGCGACAGATGGAGAGCAAATTTGTAGTACTTCACCAGAGTCTTGAACACGGGTGTCGGATAGACAACAAACGTTGATATTAAGACTTTGCAAAGACACAGCCAACCCCATCTGTTGTCCAACCTGCATAAGTGTGCGAACGTTGAAGGCAGCCAGTTTGAATGGTGCACGTGGTTGCAGAGAAACTGCTTCAGTATTCGTATTTGGTGGTAACATACAATTTTCAAATGGACAGTGACTCGAGAACGTTTAGATAGAGTCGAATTTCCACCATAGACGAGCTGCTGTATAAGTCGAAAAAATAAGTATAGACAGAGTACGAATAAAATAGGGTGAATAATGATGTAGTAAATAATAATAATAATAATGTGAATCATATGATTGTTAATCGAGGCAAGAAAAGTATTTTCCATAATTATCGACAGTTCATCACCGAAGCGGGTAGTTTTCTTAGGGGGCCAAACCCCGAGCCTTTGACCTAAAGGTGTAACCCACAAGGCAGTGGAGCATCGTGAGGAGATGCAGTCCAATGGTAGCCGGTGACCAACAATTGGTTCATACTCCATTTGTTCCCTCAGGATACTGGAGCCCATGTGCACCATTGATTTTGTTTGGAATCCGGTTAAAGCGTCGGACATTCGCTTTTCGTTCTCTCATTTTCGTAAACAACAGCCCCGTCACGAGAAGGCAGCGAATAGGACTTCCATGGTAGAGGCCGTGTACGCGTGGCCACACCAGGGCATTTGCGGGCGCAGCTGCTTATGTGTGCAGACCATTTTATTCTTCATGACTAGAATATAATAGCATATCCCCCGAAGCTAGTCTTTTCTGTCCGGTTTTTGTCGAATAGGTTTAAGCCCTTCCAAGCACATCCGCTACTTAAATGCCTCTCCCGCTTCCCCACATTGTCCGAACATCTCGTTTGCCTACATTAATTGTTGCTCCTGTTATCAGAAAAAGGGTTATTCTTGTGTGGTTTTATCCTGCTCCAGTATATTTAGTCAGGGAATACCGGTTATTCAAGCTGTGCAAAAAGATTTCGCTCATGTAAATATGATGGTTATTAGCAAATACAAAAAGAAAAATATCAATTCACACAATTGTAAGCTTACATTCATTTTGTTGCCTGAAGTCATACTAAGACTTGCCAAATTAAACATCTTCAAAGATAATTTGATTATAATACCATTTTTTTATTTATTTGAGTCTGCATTATAACCATAGCCATAAAAAAAATTAGATGAAGTATTAGTCCCTTAGATAAACTTTGATAGTGTAATAAGAATACGAATATTATCAGAACTATGTAACATATTAGCGCAAACATCCGGAAAGTGAGAAGTCACGCGTTGCGTTTCTATACTGCTAGTACGTTTAGTAGCGTTCCAGACCTTTCCGGAAGCCCAAGGCAATTAAAATGCCATAAATACCCTAGATTTTTTGTACATAGGCAAGCCTTGGAGTAAAGCGTTTATTCCATATTCCTCTCGTTTTAAATCGCTGTGTAGATTTAGCCTGGGGATTACTAGAAGAGCTTAGGTACTGAATCTAGCATTCAATTCGAAGACTTATCAGTCAGGTTAAAAATTAAGTTTCTCTATGATATTAAAATCTGAATGCCATGTCTATCCTAAGTATCTTAATCCCCCTCTTGATATTAATAGATATTATTCATATTTCCACATTTACTTAACCCTATTTTCATTAATTTAGCTTAGATTCTGTGTACAATGAGCACTTACTTACTATAAGCCAGTTACAAGATGAGATCAAATCACTCAAGCGTCAATTAACACTTAAAGACTCTGACTTGTTAACCAAAGATCGTACAATAGCAGAGTTACGCTCTGAAATGATTGAAATAAAATCAATGAATGAAGATCGTGTCCGAAAAATAAAATCAGCTGCACAGCTTGAACAAGATCGGATGCTAGTAAGTCGGTTTTCTTCTCAACTGTGTGGTGCATTGATTTTCTCAAATATATTTTTTAACAATCAAACTTCTGATCCATCTGATGAAGCAGTCAGACTAAAAAAGAGAATCAAGACGTTTGTTTTCTGTTCAGTCAATTGTTTATAACTTGAAATAATTATAAGCTTTTTATTTGGGATTTTTTTGAAATATTTGTACATCAATAATAAGTTTTGTTGTATTTTGGACATCATGGATACTTGCTTCCTAGTCCCTAAAAATCTAGCTCTGTCGAACTGTAAACAAAAATTGCAGAAGGGTTACTTCGAACGTTAGGTTGTGAACAGTTTTTAGATATTAAATGTTTCTGAAAACAAAACGAAGTTAGTAAAACAACTTAGTGATTATCTAATCAGAATAAGGAAAGGACGATTATCTGATTCCTAGGTTTTTCTGCGGAGTTTCCAATAAGCGTTAGTTGGTTAAAGCACTTTCGGCTTTTTCCTTTGTCTCTGCAGAACTTCGTAAAGAACAATCGAAAACTACCAATTTTAAACATGACTCTAATTTTTTCACTCAGCATTTGACCGTACTTTGTCTCCTTTTTTTCCAGGCTACAATACGTCAGTTACAAAAAGAGAAGGCAATTATTAGTCATAATATTAAACGTCGTAAAATTAATAACAATCTCTCAAAAATTACAAACCGAAATTTTTTGTCTTCGACAACTTTATTCAATCCAGATTCACCGCTTAGTTTGGGCTTTGCGAAACGAGTTTCCAAGCCTCTAGTACTTGAAAGCCAAGATAAAGAACGTGGAGGCGAGGAAACATTGTCTTACTCAGATCGAGTATCGAAAAATACACTGGACTCAACAGGTCGTTCAATGAAAAGACAACTTACACCTGACTGTATTGGTGTACAAATTTACGATGAAGACTCTAACTTAGCACCTCAACGTACAGTTACTTCTGGCATAAGACAAAACGCAGGTTCACCAGGTATTACTTCAAGTATATCATCCAAACCTCCTACAGATAATGAAGAAGCATCTCAACCGTATCAATATGATCCTCATGAAATATCTGGGAAAAACCCTCTTGGGTTGGATACGCCATCGGAGTCTGAAAATGAAACTCCCGACTGAAAATTTTCGTGGAATATCAGTATTTTGACTCTTCACTTCTGTTTCACATAAAAAAATGTAGACAATCACTGTTTTTTGTAACACACTACATCTGCATTTTAGTAAGACGTTTAATTTTCAAGTGGTCTGTTTTTATAACGTCTTTGTCACATTCATTTTTGCCTGTGTATGGTGGCTTGATTCAATCGTTCACACACTTTCTGTACGGGAGGTATGACAATTTTGTTTGTTCTATTAGTTAGTTTGGGAGGAAGTTAAATCTAACTTCCCCTAAATGTAGTGTCACTTGTATATTCAATTAAATGTATAATGTCTTTTCTGTGTTCTACAAACCATCTAGAATAATTAATTGTTTGTATATTATCTAGAAACAAATCAACTCATAATAAATTTATCATTTGCAGATTTAAAGCAATTAGTCTTTTCGATAGTTTTGATAATATTCATGTTCCTGTTACACCACCCATTGTGTGGATTTGTTTTTTTACTTTTCATTGACCTGTCATGACACTAGTAATGCACTAATCAATATACATTGAAATTGGCTCGATTTATCAACTAACAAAAAAGAGGAACAAATCCAAGGTCAGAGGTGAAAACACTTAAAACGAATACGCAAACAACGGTCAAATCTATGGACAACAATCAACCGAATTGTAGGTTAACAGAGCAAATAACTAGTCAGTCACGGAGAAACGCTAATCACTCAGGACTTATTGAAATATCTGCTGATGATGTTATCAACAAGACAATAGAAGCTTCGTGATTAAACAACCTGACTCAGAGAACAGAACGCCATCAAAAAATTTCCTTTTGAAATTTATTAGCATCTTCAAGCTATAAACAATCCTAATGTATAGCATTCACTGCAAAATATGTGGAAACAAAGAAATATATTAGTCACTTAATAAAAAAACTGGGAGTTGTACAAGAAATTAAAAGTAAACACGCATCAAATAATAGATGAGGGTGATCAGTATTACAATAAGATACGGAATTCAGGTTGTTATGATGAATGTTAAAGGACGTTTGGAAAGCTGGAAGTAGTGGACTGCCGTTTAGTCGTAGTATGGGATAGGTGAGCAGTACGCATTAAGGATCGCACACGTGCGACTGGAATTAGGGACCTTAGGTCTAACGCGTCAACGCCTAACCTATTGCTCCAACGTCCACCATCGCATTTATTTACGACACGAAATTATTTTCTACGATCTTAAAACTTGTTCATATCATCATTTAATCCCGTTGATGGTCAGCTATTGTTGGCATAGTCTTTTTGAGCAATTTTAGTGTCATTCTTTTTGCTCTAAGGAATTTCGTGTACTGTCCTTTCCGGGTCGTTTTCCTTTTTAGAAGTACGAGAAACGACTCTTGTTTGCAAGGTTCTGAAATTCCTAAATAGTGCATGAGAATGAGTATAATTTGAAGTCATGTGTAATTTTCCCACTTTGATTCCTTAATTCCCAAATTGTTAAGCGAAATTAAGAGGCCACAAGTATTCGGAGTTTGACAACACCTTAACTAGTAATATCTTTTATGATTGAAACGTACCGATACAGTGAAATCAGAAGTGAGGAGACTCGAAGATATATTCGATAAGTGACTAATCTAGGCTGGCTAGCGGTTATAGGAGAAATGAAGCACGGCGTACTCACTCGTGATCTGGTGCGGATGCATGACCAAGCGCCTTCAATCAGCTAAGTCCATTAAAACTAAAGTGGTCAGCATCAAATATCGAAGACTTTCAGAGCTATTCATTTTGGGGATATATTTACCTCCACAACAGTATTAGAATCATTTCCAGTGGTCAATAAGGAAAGCTGACCCTATAGCATTCTTAAATTTACTAGACCTAATATAGACGGTCCACCCTCAGTAATGAGAAATTTATAATTTAAGATTTACCTTTTCTGATTAACAGATTACAACATCCAATAATAGAAAGTTTGCGACCAGTAATACTAGAAATGGGAACTTTAGTAAGCACAATTATAGCACCAAGTTTTAATGGCTTCAACTTCCCAGTGAAAATGGACTGGACGCTATCAATATCAACAATAACATCGAGAAAAGCACAACTGGACAGATATAATGGTTTTCAAATATTAAGTGGAAGTTGTAAATAAGGATAATATATGACGTAGAAGTTTACCGCAGGATAAACGTCTTCTAAACGTGTTCACCATTGTAACCTGCTTTGTAATTATTTTTTGAATCACTCCTCATATTTCCACGAGAATAGAAGCCATTATCAAACAAAGGCGATCCTGAGTGTAGTTCATCATGAGGACTGAGCAAAGTTATAGATTTTCACCGACTGGAAATTCAGTTCATTTACTACCCTCTAGTTCATATAAGCAGTCCTAGCATCTTGAAGAGAACAGTTCGACGTTTGTGTATTGTGGTCATGTATCTTTTTGCAGTAATCGGGAATAAATCGATTACTTTTCCAGTTGATTCACCCTTCCTCTCTCGCGTGCTTGTCTGCCAATCAGGTGATAGAATAGTTTTCGTCTTTATCCAAGGCAGTTAGTCTCACTTCGAACTCACACGGTTTTAGCCTCAAGGTTGAACGAATCAACCTATCGTGTCAAGGTCTTAATCTAGATTGAAGCAAGTTATTTCCGGCATATTAGTAGGTAGACAGATCAAGATGTGACAGTATACCTCAAAAAATGAGAACCAGAATACTTTCTCAGATGAGGAAATTAAGATTAGCATATCATGATCCCGTTATTCATAATTGACAGCTTGAATTACTGTAGCTCAAATCCTGTTTATCTTCAAAAAATCCTTAACGTCAAAATCACTATTTCAACAGACCTGAGTCCTATTATTTAATAAAGGAAGAATGGCATTATCAAGAAAATAATTCTTCATTAGCGAATGGACTCGGAAAAAACGCTCAGTCGTAGTGGACATTTTATATATGATTTGCGTTTTCCCATTTGCTCACGTTTAAGGTTTGCACATGGAATTTAACTCAGATAAATGACAACTTAGGAATTTATATTAATGGTGTGAAAAGCAAAAAAGAAGACCTGACAAACTACGAAAGCTATTCTTGGGGATATTATTTCATTAAATGATAAGCCTGTAAAACAGCAACATTTATCTTTGCCCCTAGTCTATTCTACAGATCATAAGCTTTCACTTCATGTATGATTAACTGCCATAGCCTTTCCTGTTCCAAGGCTATTGTGATTTAAACGTAATCTCTTGTACTCTATTTTCTACTCTAATCCCCAGCTTGGGACATCACTGTATTTTCGTAATTGTTTGGTTATTTATTCTCTGAAAAAGTGGCTTACACAATGTTATGTCCCGATAAGTATAATGAATGGTAACTGTTGAGATCTATTTATGGTCAAATACTATATATATATTTTTATCGTATAATTATTAAATAACTAAACTATTTATATTCGTGTTCCTTTTATCATAAGCTTTATTTTGGCCTGAACTATTATTATACGATTTGCCGTTCTTCATTTCTGACCTGTCTATCAATTATTACCTCCCATATTCACAGCCACTTTTGACTAAATATTGTACAAATGTTATTTTCTATTTTATGATACGATGTGGTCTGGTTGGTTTGTATACAAACCCAGTATGTTTGAAATACATGATTCATATCGCAGAGGCTGAGATTGGTGTTCTGGATTTAACTGACTGGGCTAGGCAGGAAGCAGGACTAATAAGTACTCTAGACTGCTCGCATGGGCTTTATGCGTTATTGGTCCGATCGACCAGTCACTGCTCCCTAATTGGCGGTATCATATTATATATTAGTAGGGCACAGACTACAAGTTACAACACGCTAAGTCACAAAATGTCAGGAAATCTAATTTTTCTACTCATCACGATATTACAAATATATTATTTATTTATAACAATCTACCCAATGCTCAATTTATTCGCTGAAAAATTCCCATTATATTAAAACAACAATTATTATTCAACACTCGCCATCAATGTTTTCAAGTATCCAAGTCCTCAGCCGATGATTACCTCACATAAGCTGGAAAAGTAGATTGAGAATGCGATCGATTTAAAATAAATGAAATTACAGCAGACCAGTTTAAATGTTTGATTTTTATCTGTGGTTTAAAGAATCCAGAAGATACCGATATCCGTACCAGGATTTTGGCAGGTATTGAGCAGGAACCGAATATGACTCTACAAATGGTCACTACTGAGTGCCAACGGTTATTAAATCTCAAACATGATAGAGCGATAGTGCAACAGAAGGCGAAACCTTCCGATTTCGGCTTAATAAATGCACTCAGATCCTTCAAATCTTCCAAACAAAGCGCGACAACTAGCAAACCACCGTCACCGTGTGGAGCATGACATTTTTTGAAATTATGCCCGTTCAAGGATCACAAATGCAACCGATATCTACGCTTGGTCATAAAGAAGGCCACTGCTCATCAAATAAACTCCAGTCTAAATATCGTAGCGGAAATGAGAAGCGACAGCCACAGGGTCAAATCAAAAGCATGTTCGCAACTTTCAAGGTTGGATTTCCAAGTGAACAGAAGTAAGTAAACTTATTAGTAAATGGAAAACCTGGTTATAGTTCTCTCTTATTACAACCCAGCTATTACTATTGCTTAGTATTCTTGGACACCAATTCACTCGACAAGTCCCCAAATCAGAACACGGTTGGACAGGAAAGAGGTTACATTCCGAATAACAAGGTCAGATGGAAGTAAGAAGCACAGTGGGGAAAACATTGGTATATTTATAGTTTTTACACGAGATTTCTGGAGTGTTCTCCAAGTATCGACTAGCGCTGAATGGGTAAGAATTAGACAATCAGCGTGCACCAAAGCAATCGTGTATTGAGCATGCTTTAATCCAGTCTATGTCCCGCTAACAAACCTATACTTTGTTAGTTGGACACGGCTTCCGAAGTTACACTGATTTCCAAGAACACGTGACTCAAGCTGAGATGCAAACGTATCTTGTCAACAGAACATGTTGCCCGAAAT